TTGGCACTTTTCCCTCAGCCAAATGAAGGACCCTTGCACATCTGTGTCCCTTCCTGCAGAAGTCTTCTTCGGAGAGATAGTGTGGGGACATGCATTTCCAGATCTTTGGAGGAAAATCTATCCAGAACCTTCTATTCCCTACTATGCCCTGCCCCTCCCCATACAAAAAAAGCAATCCTGCTTTTCCATGGACACAAAAATTCATAGGCAGTTATGCTCAATTCTAAACTGAGGCCTAACTCTAAATAGGTGACCAACAGGCTGGTGGAGCTTTCTTTCCAGTCCTTTATGGGTTGTGATTTTCAAAGAAAAACAAAGAGCTGGCTGGCTGGTGGTGGTACTTATAAATGTGGATACACCATTACAAATCTGTCACTTCCCAAGAGTCCATATTTATTCATATGACATGTTTCCTCCAGGAATGTATTAAGGGGACATAGAGTCATTTTAATTATATGGAAAAAAATCACGACGGGCCGATAAAAAAAAACTACCCAGCAGCTTGCTGGATAGTACAGAGGTAAGGTGCTTGTCGTGCATGCAGCTGATCCAAGTTCGATCCCTAGCTCTGCACATGGTCCCCCACGCCCCACCAAGAGAGATCCTGAGCACTGAGTCAGGAGGAAGCCCTGAGCACTGCTGGGCGTGGCGAAAATTTAAAAAAATGATATAAAAAACGTCCTCTGAAACATTTGGGTATCCCACTCATTTGCAAGCAGAATGTTGTGTTTGTATATATATATGTACATAACAAAGGACTGGGTTTATTCGGACCCTTGAAAATCAGTCAAAAAGAGGGCACAGGGCATTGGAGGAACTCTTCTTCCTCAATTCTTTTTTGGTAGGGGGTACATGCAGGGTGCTCCTGGCTCTAAACTCAGGGGTCACTCCTGGCAGGCTCAGGGGACCATATGGGATGCCAGAGATTGAACCTGGTTCAGCCGCATGCAAGGCAAATGCCCTATGTGTTATATTATCGCTCTGGCCCCTTATTCTTCAATTCTTAAAAAAGAAGAGCTGGGGTTAAGTTTCAAGAGGAAGAGCACGTGCCTAGTAGCATCTGCAAGGGGCCCAGCAGATGTGGCCCCTACTTAAAACAAGGGGAAGAGGAAGTGACCTGGATGATTCCCGTGCCCACTCCAGTCACATTTTATTACTATCCAGCCTTTAATTCTTCCATCCTTTCCCTCCTGATAACCTCCCATCCCAATGCGAAACCAGGCAGGACAAAGGAGGTGAGGCGACCACGGGCTGACTAGGGGCCTCCTCATAATCTGTGAGGGAGCCGCGAATCTGCCTCATTTCTTGGGACTTAGGCTAAAAGCAGCTCAGAGAGAGAGAGATTCTTGAACTACAGACACTGGAGAAAGTTCATGTCCTCGGATGGCTGAGGAAATGGAAAGCGGGGTTGCACCCACATTCCCAAATACTGACAAGGTATCTAGAATGGTCAAGGCGCCTGTTGGGGTGGGGACATGTCCTGGAGGGGGACGGTCCGAGGTGCTCCCTAGGAAAGAACAGTCCTTAAGACCATTAACAAACTGGCCGCACATACATTCAAATACACCCCCTTGGACACGGGGCTCAAGAGGGAGGCCTGTCCTTTTATTCTGTGTTTTTCTGTGGCCCCGCACAGGTTGGCACAAGTCCGAAGCTCAGGAAACGCCTGTCAAATGGAACGGGGAGGGCGGAGAGCAGGCCCGGGTGGGCGGGTCGCCGGGCAGGCAGGCGCAGCGGCAGCTTCAGTGTAACAGTTTGTTCATGTGGAATCACACAGCAATGAATCAAGCAGCTTTAATCTCTTAAGGGCAATTTTTTTTCCCTTTAGGGAACATGAACCGCAACAACCAAAAAGACACAGTGTGAAGGCGTTCATCACCAGTGTGTCCTCCAGGCAAAGAGTCGAAACTTTAAAAATACAAATAAAAACAAAAAAACGAAGCCACTTGCAAAAAGTTTTCCCAGGAAGCCTCAACTGGAAGAGTTCTTTTTTTTTTTTTTTTAAAAAAAAGAGGCAATTCTAGGAGAGAGGCTGGAGGATGATCCCTGATCTGACACCACCCCAAAGAGATCCAGGAGACTTCTTCCAGCAGGTTCCCACTCAGCGGGACAAGGACCAAGTGCGGCCCCACCCCGTAAGAACCCACATTTCCCGGATTACCCATTAGAATGACCTCCATCCTCCAACCTCGCATAGTGTCCTCGTTAATTAGAAAACATAAACCAAAATGACAATGCATATACAAAAGGAACCAAGTTAGTAAAACATAGGAAATAGGGGAAATTAGAGTCCACTGACTTCTGAAAACTATGTAGGCTTGGTGAAATCGTTTCTCTCATTCTAGCTCACATCCCCTCGTCATCCTGTTCTCCTTGTCTTTTTCTCCAAAGAATTCCTATCACCAACTCCATTTGTGATCAACTTCACAAGCACCTGGAGGGGAAGATTGTCCAGAAAGAGAAACTTCTCATTTCAGATATTAAGTACGGAAAGCATTTTAAAATAGAGGTAATACCCTAGTGGTTTTCTCTTTCCTCCTCCAAAGTCTTAAAGATTAAGCCTTGTTCTTCTTTAACCTAGATTTATCTGTACTTGAAAAACGACTGCTTAGCAAAAAATCTGAAAACTACTGTCCGAACCTCTCTTAGTGTCACCATGCAGGTGCCCGGGGAAGCCAGTAAGCTGAGCCTAGCAGTGGGAAGAATATTTGCTTAACAAGAGTAGCTTTCTGCTCTGAAGCTAAAACCTGTTGTTACTGGTGTTTCTTAAAATGAAAGTATTACTTTGGGGAATATTTAAAATATATATCTTTGTCTATTAAAAATATTTCTCTTTCTTCCAAAGCCCCCAAATCAGCTCCAACTGAAAAGCGTTTTTTAAAATTATTGGGAGAGATAGAAAAATGTGGCGAGTGGAAAAATAAGCATCTTTGCTACTACCAATGAGACTAGCCTTCTGATAGTATTTCTCAAGATGAAAAAAGCAATCTGTGAAGTGGGAGTAATCAATGTTTCCCCTCCGTCTGCTCCAGTCCAGTGCCAGCTCTATGGTCTTGGGCACAGAGATGCCCCCAGCAGCCTGAGGGAGGGCCCTCAACTAAAATGGGCTGAATACAAGAAGCTCCATGTATAGTTTCTAACTGCACGTGTGTGTGCCCAGACTCCCAGAACACAAAATACATACATTCAAGTGAGTGCCACGCTTCCCAAGTGGTCACTGTGGGTTCCACTTATTTCCATGATGACTATGATGCTTAGACCCCTCTGCAGAGTCCCTTTGAGACTTCCATTATCTGTACAAGGAAATGTTTTTTCTGGTTTTGCTGTTAACCACCTCCCTACGACTCCAACCCTCTAGATAACCACCTTCTCTTCCAGAGGCTTGGAATACCTTCTTAGTCCACACTGAAAGGTCTCTCATCTATAACCCCCAAAGATGGAAGATTAGCCCAGAAAAAGAGGAGAGAGAATCTCCTGAGAAGAATCAAAAGAAGGTGGCATTAGTAAATTCCTAGTGGCCTTGATCACTGGGGCATTGGTCCTGGATCGTAGCTTTTACCTTAGTCAGAGGCGGTGGTTGGAGCAGACCTTAAGGCCCCTTCCAGTTCTAGTCTTTTAGGAATCTCTGTTTCTAGATCTATCTAGACTTTTGAGGGCAGTTCCACCAACGGCAACATCATTGGGAAAACTCTGCAGAATCTGTTGGGCCACTTAAAGGTGTAACCGACAATGGGATATAGAAGCACGGGAAGGTGTGTAAAAATGCCAGTCACGTGACTATAGTAACAGCTCACTCATGCAGAGGGAATGGCAGGCCTTCTGAGAGTCCCTAAAAACCAAGCCTTCGTCCCTATTCTCAATGAGCCCAGACGGGCAGAAGCACCAAGCACCACCAAGGATGCAAAAGACACACGGTGCCAGCTGCAACGGGAATAAGCCGCACGGTGCCAGCTATGGGGAATCAGTCCCAAGGTCCGTGGGGCTGCGCCTGCTGGCTGCATCCAGCTAGATGCCTTATTTCCACAGGATGGAGTTTCAGCACGATTCTGGCCTGACTACCGGGAAAACTGACTTTGATCAACATGCAGATACCCCTTGGTCATGTGCGGAGCGCCCAGAAGACCCCAGCTGAGGGGTGGGGAGAACTGTGTAGTTATGACTTCCTCCTGGCAGCGGCCTTATCTGCATGTGGATTTCGCCCTATCACCATCCAGACCAGGCCAGCTCTCCCTGGGTTCCCCTGGCATAGCCACCCTTGGGTGGTGGTTCGTTATGGCAACCCGTGTGTGTGACAAATCCATAGGATTTGTGGTCAGGAGACTCAGCAGCCAGTGTGCGCAGGGCCACACCGTAACTGAGAGAACCCCAACACCTGCACTTCAGCTTCATCATCCTAACGTGGGGCTCACACCACTTACATGGCAGGTCTCTTGGGAAGACCAAGACTGTGCCCTGTGAACTCACCAGCCAGGCGCTCTGTTTCCAAACGGGAACGGGAATTAACTAGGTGTACCTGTTCGTGGCAAGGGGAAGGAAGGGGGAAACATAACAACCTGTCATTCTGGATCTGCTCAAGAATTATACCTGTCAGCTTCTTTGAAAAGGGACTTTTGCTTTTGCTTTTTTGTATTTTTTTTTTTAAAATCTGCACGGCCATCCCCGCTGGAATAAGTCAGGAGGCCTGATCCGGTTGGGAAGGCAACCCCGCTTTCCTCTACACTATTAGCTTTGACCTCTGTGCTGGGGAGTCTCATCCCAGGAGGGTGCTGTCTGGTGGGACCCTGGGAAGAGTGGGGGAGGGGAGGAGGTGCTTCTGTCCCCCCCGGGGCTCCCTGGGCTAGAGCCCCCCCCCCCCGGAGGCCCTCAGAACCCTGTGAGTGCTTCCTGGCCACGAAAAGAAACCCAAAGTGCGAAGAAGACGCGGCATTTTGGGCTTTTCGGAGGGAAACGACCAAGCCCAAAGGTGTCTTTTTCAAAAGAGCAACAAGACCCCGAGAAGCAGGCGGGGCGCTACTTGGCCACGCTGGACCGCAGGAGGTACTGGTCGCTGCTGCCCTTGCGGCGGCTCACGGTCCGCCTCTGGCTGTCGAAGAGGCGCTGCAGGCGCAGGGCCAGGCGCCGGTCCTCCTCCTCCTGCTGCCCCCGGCGGCCGCGCGGGCGCTTCAGGGGCCCGTTCTGCTCGGCGGGCTTGGCCTTGGCGCACCGCTTGCGACCCCGGCGCGGCGGCTCGGCGGCCCCCAGCCCGTTGGGCAGGTCGAGAGCAGGAGCCGGCTGCTTCCTGGTTCTCGGGGTCCCGCCGCCGCCGCCGCCGCTTGGGGGCCCGGCGCTGGCCGCCAGGACCTTCCTGGCCGTGCTGGGGCAGGTCTGGTGGGAGTGGGCCTCGGGGGTGGCCCGCTCGGGCGCCGCCGCGGGGGGCTCCGGGAGACGGGGGTCCGGGTCGCCCGCGGGCAGGGCCTGCCTGCCGGGCAGCCTGGCCGGGAGGGCCGGCGGGGGCTTCTCCGCGCTGGCCGGCGGCGTGAAGTCCAGCCCCGGGGCGCCGTCCTCCCCGGGGGGCTCGGCCGCCAGGGACGTGAGGGTGGCTTTGCAAAGGGTCTTCTTGATCTGCCGCTCCTGGAAGATCTGCTCCCACTTCTTGAGGATGCGCGGGCTGGCCTCGTAGGACGTCTGCTTCTGCAGGCTCCGGCTGAGGTTGCGGGGCGTGGACTTGATGATGAGCGGGCTGAGCACGCGCCCGTCCGGGAGCCGCTTGGGCGGGGTGCAGGGCGAGCAGACGATGGGCTTGAAGTGGTTCAGCTCCTCCGAGATGCTGTCGTTGCTCTCGGGGCTGATGGAGCGCTCGGGCTTGTGCAGGGCCGCCACGGACGAGAGCGCGCCGAAGGGCAGGCGCTTCTCCAGGGCCAGGTCGGGCGCCGACAGGCAGCGGCTGTTCTGGGTGGACAGGAGGACGCCGATGATGGGGGCGGAGGCCGAGGTCAGAGACGCGCCCTGCGGGATGAAGAAGATTCTGCAGACACGCACGCACAGCTTCACGCGCGCACGCTGGGAGGGGGGGCGAGCAGGGGTCGGTAAGAAACGCGATGCAGGGCGATGTGCGCGGGGACTCATCGGAGAATCACACCATTTAGCAGAACTTGCTACACCCGAACTGAAAGATTTCTCTCTGTCTCTCTGTCTGTCTGTGTCTCTCTCTGTGTACACATGACCCACCTGGGATTTATAAAAAGGCTCCGCTAACAGCCCTTGCTCCACCCGCCTATTCATTCATTTCATGTCATCATCCTGTTATTCGTGGATTGCCTCGAGCAGGCCCCAGTAACGTCTCTTTCATCCTAGCCCTGAGATTATATTCAAGGCTCTTTAGGAGAATGAGACCCATCATTGTTACTGGTATTTGGCATATTGGGTACGCCACGGGGAGTTTGCCAGACTCTGCCCTGTGGGCAGGCTACATTCCATAGCCTGCAAGTTTGTCCAAAGTAGGAATGAGACAATAAGATGTCATAAAAAAAAAAAGTTTTGATAAGGTGTCGTGGGGTTCCGGGATCTGGATTTTATAGTCTCTGAGTCTTGGCCGCACCCGCCTATTACTAAATCTAAATCTCTACTTTCACGTGTGTTTGGAGAACTCTGGCCGTGAGAACTCTGGGGTCTTCTTGGAGTCGGGGGTGAACAGTCTGTCCCACTCCCTACTTCCAGAAGCCACACCCACCTCTCACAACTGCAGCCATGTAAATTCACTGCCCAATTACATATTCTGGAGCTCAGTTGAGCAGTACTGACACCCCAAGTAGGAGCCAAAGTAGACGGGAATATAAGGCAGCCGCCAACTATGCTCAGTAAACAAAAACATTAACACAGATGCTCAACACGCAATAGCATCCCAGCAACCCTCAGACAAGGGCCTACTGTCCCCATGGTGAGATACAACAATTTCCACAAAGTATTTTTTTTTTTTGATAATTCCATTAACCGCTTAGTTGTAACAAGCATTAGACAATAAATTATTTGGAACTGCTAAGGGCACAGGCTTGGGGTGGGGGAGGGGTGGTGGGAAAATGGAGACCATGTTGGAGAGAAGATCACGCTGGTGCTGGGACTGGTGCTGGAAAACTGAGTGCCTCGCGAATGCCCTCTTAAACCACAGTGTTTAAATAAAAGGGAAGAACAAGGTAACTCTTACGCCTAAGGCCCATTCTGTGGCTCTTCCTTTGCAAACAGTGTCTGCGGGGACTGGCTGAGGTGGGGAGGGGATGGCAGTCCCATCCAGGAAGTCTGCATACCTTGGCCTTACTGGTGGGGGCACCTCTGAGCCGGCTCTTGGCTCTGTCCTGAGCGGTATCATTGCAGCTTTGACTCCTCTCCACCTTGGAATTAAGATTCCTACCAACAGAATAAATGAAAGACAAATCGTCAAAAAAAGAACCCACACACTAGCTTAAACAAAAAAGGCTTGCTTTTCTCCAAAACATCTCCCTGAGAGAGAATCTCCTCGGGCAGCTAGAGTAGAATAGTGTAAGGGCTGAAGAGAGAACGCAGGGGTTAAGGCACATGCCTTGCATGCAGTCAATCCAGTTTGACCTCTGGCACCATGGATGGTTCCCTGAGCACCTCCAGGAGTAATTCCTGAGCACAGAGCCAGGAGTAAACCCTGATACCACCGGGCATGGCCGCCATCTCCCAAAACATAAAACAAATAAAATACCAGAACAAATCCTGTCAGAAGAGCATTTACAAGAGAGGACACTGGTTTATACTCTGATTAAATAAGGAAGACCAAGAGCTCTTTTGCTCACCCTTAAATAGAAGTAGGGGTACTTTAGCTCTCTTAATAAAGTAAATACACTGTTAAATCACCTCTATAGTTAACAGTTTTTTCTTTCATTAATCCCAAACCTCCCCTCAAGCAATCTAAATTGATTTGAAACATTTAAGTACTTAAAAAAAAAAAAAGGCAAGCAGCAGTACACCAAATTTTTACATAGGGAATCAAAGTTAAATATGGTCTTTTAGGAAGGCTTTAAAAAGGCCTAATTCTTAGTGATTTAAGAGGCTTCAAGAACATGTAATTTTTTTTGGTCTTTGTCTACATTATGTTGACTTTACAAGCCAAATCAAAACCCCAAGTACCCGTTTCCTATGATTCATCTTCCTGTGTAGAGGTAAGTGCATATATGACTGTCAGTTTCCATGGACCAGAATTTATAGGATCCTCGATGATCATATTACTCATCTGTTTCTCCTCTTCAATGCATGCCAATTCAATGACTGTTCAGAATATAGTACTTTTCTAAATGCTTGCAACTGGTTTTGTGTTTTGACTTGCCTGAACAAGCATTTAAACTACATGCCTTACAGTCACTGATACCTGTGCACTCACGGAGAATACAGAGAAGAATACAATCTAGGTCCCCAAGGATGCAGAAAACATTCCATATAACCATTTGAAAGGACTACAGCAATCCAGGCATGCCTAAGATCCAGTAATGCCTACGAGAGAGTTACTAATTTCCTGGAAGACAGTGAGAAATGCACTGGAGAAGCCTTTTCTGTGGCATATGTATTCTGCAAGATGACAAAGAATTTGCCAAAAAATCAAGGTGGGCAAGTCAAGGCCATAAAGATTATTGCCCCCCTCCCTCACCATACATACCACATTATTTCTTTGAATGATCCTACTTAGCTTTGCAATGGAATACATCATTCTTCCTCCTCCTCAATAGAAAGAGATATGTTGCGACTGGCTCAGTGAAAAAGGAAGTAATCAGGTGTGTTCCCACAGTGCTTCTCTTCCTACACCTGGAGTGGAGCTCTGCCCTCCTCACCTACATGGCTTCCAGCCACTTCTCCCTTCAAAACCTTCATCCTGTATTTCAGAGCCACTGCCCCTCGCTCCAGTCTCATGAACTAATCTGTGCTTTGACAGGAATAAGGGGCATTGGTGGTCAAACTGTCAAACTATGTTTCACATGTCAACCAAGAAACATACTCTAAACAAATGATGTAGGCATTATACTACAAAGAGAGGCAAGTATTTCAGAACAGGTAGAAAACGTCAAGTCACCCTTTAAAGTAGAAGGGTAGCCACTTAGCAGTCAGCTGGGTTCATATTTTACCTAAGATTGCTGAAATTCCTTTGCATTTCCAGAACTCAAACAAACCGTCCCTGTTACAACAGTGGCAGCAGTAAACAAAGCGGCAGATTAAAATGCTGTGGTCATTAAAATATACTTAAGTTAGGAGAAATGGACATAGATTTGTAAGACTATGTAAAAGACATGTCTGACATAATTCCATTGTAGAAATAAGTAGACACTTGGAGGAAAAGGCTTTCTGATCAACAGAGAGAAAAAAAATCGTAATTATTAGTAGTCAGACGATCTCACTGACTGCTTCTTCGGGAACGCTACACTTCACATCAGTTGTGATACTCAAGCTGAGGCTGGGCTTCATCTTAAAAGCCCAAACTTCCATAATTAAGAATAAACATAATGCAGGGCTAGATAGAGAGCACAGAGGTTAAATGGCTTGCCTTGCACACAGCTGATCCGGATTCCATCTCTGGCACCACATGGTCCCCCAAACATTGCCAGAGGTGACCGCTGAGCCCAGAGGCAGAAGAGAGCCCCGAGTGCTACCAAGTGTGGCTGACTCTTCCCCACGCCCACAAAGAATGAAGATAATTTTTTAAAAATCCATGAATCCATTTAGTATCAAGTTGTTGGCTATATTCCCAAGTTATCAACTAGAGAAATGAAAATTACCTGGGAAGAATCTCTTCAGTACTTTGGTGAAAGCAAAAGGCCCAGGAAGAAAACTCATATTTGCAGCACACAAGCACACATCAAAGTATTTTCTGATTGTCAAAAGTCTTTTTGGTAATCCTGGGTATAGCTGAAACTGTCTCTTCACATTGTTAGAAGATTGTACTGTATACTCATTTGTGCAAAGAAGAGAGACGGTGATAAAAGATCATCTTGACCCACAAGAATTCCCAGTCACTCAAGTCCACCACATCATAAGTGCTGTGAGAGAGAGCAGTGATTGCTCATTTAAACGTTCAAAGTATTTTCTTCCACAACTCACACAGTTTCCACTCCTGTTATCTGATTCAAATCACTTTATATTAAACAACAGGGTCCAATTTTAGTCATTTGCATGTTATCTAGTTGTTCTAATACCGAGTGGAAAGACTATCCTTACTCTAAGGCCTCAGTGCCCAATTAAAATTCAATTAACTATAGATGTATGTGTTTATTTGGGGTGGGGGACTCTCCATACTATTCCACTGATCAATCAACCCCTACTTCAGTACCATACTCATTTGATTGTTGTTGCTTTGCATTATGTTTGGAAATTAAAATATGTGAATCCTCTACTTTTTTTTAAGACTGTTTAACCTATTTTATACTTTTGCAATTTCACATATGAATTTTAGTATTGGCCCATTCACTTCTGCAGAAAAGGAGGTTGGAATTTAAATAGGCAATGAGTCTTGAAAACAAATTGGGGAATCTCATCATCTTAATATTAAGTCCCCGTTCATGCACATAGGTATTTACTTAATTTACTTCTTAATTTCTTCAAACAATGTCTTCATTACTTTCAGCATTAGAAGTAGAAAAGTTCTTTGCCTGAATTTATTCATAACAATTCCATTTGTTATCGAGGCCTCTGGAAATGGAATCCTAATTACATTTTTTAGATCATTCATATGGTAATCTTATTATCAAGGAACTCTGTGCCCTATGACTAACATCTCCGTCTTCCTCCTACCTCCTCTGACCAAACATTCCTCTCTCTGCTTTTGTAAGTTCATCTATTTAAAATTCTGCATGTAAAGAGCATCATTGTATTACTCTATTTCACTTACAATAAAGACTTCAATTACCATTGTTGTAGGTTTTCCTTCTCTGACAGCCAAACATATTGAGTATATATGACTGTGAGCATATGTGCATATACATATACATACCACATTTTATTTTTCATTCACCAATAGGTGGACAGAGAAGTTGTTTCTACATCTTGATTATTGTGAATAATATCGTAATGAGCACTGGAGTATAGGTAACTCAGACCTTGCTTTCATTTCCTTTGGACATTTATTCAGATGTGGGGTCACTGAATTCTACAGTAGTTCTGTTATTATTTTCTTCTTTTTTCATTGAATCACCGTGAAATAGACCATCACAAAGCTATTCAGGATTGGGTTTCATCCGTACAATGTTTCAACACCTTTTCCTCCACCAGTGTACATTTTCCACCACCAATGTCCCCAGTTTCCGTCCTGCCAACCCTCTTCCACCCACCCCAACCCCCTCCACCTGCCTCTACGGCAGGCAACTTTCTTCTTTCTCTCTCTCCTTTTGTGCATTATGGTTTGCAATATGGGTACTAAGAGGTCACTGTGTTTCTTCAGGACATGCAGTATTTTTATCAGGAAGGCACCGCTGGAGTAGCTTTCTTTTTTCTTTTTGGGTCACACCCAGCGATGCTCAGGGGTTACTCCTGGCTCTGCGTTCAGGAATTACTCCTGGCGGTGCTTGGGGGACCATATGGGATGCTGGGAATCGAACCCGGGTCAGGCTGCGTGCAAGGCAAACGCCCTACCCGCTGTGCTATTGCTCCAGCCCCTGGAGTAGCTTTTTAAACTGGGTGGCAGGTTTGGGTTGCGGACGTGACGGCTCAGGTTTCCAGAGGTACAGGGAGGTGGGGGTAGGTAGTCTATCCCAACACGGAGAAAGTCTGGAGATTTCAGTCACAAAGCCTGCACACCTAAATTTTCAGGAGATTAATAGCTTGGTGATATCCGTGCCCAGATGGTGGAGTCCAGTTTGGGGTGCATGGAGGCAATTTTGGACTATGGGAGCAAATGGCTGCTGGGGCTCTGTTTGGGCAGGCACCAGGCTGACCCGACCCCCTCCGATCTACCCTGGTCTGTTCAGCCACGCGTGGGCCCAATATTAACTGCAGCTTTGGATCTCTTTCAAGGTTTATTTATGGGTCTCCGAAGCAAGGCTGATAAATGAGATTGTATAGCTGAGATGGAGGTGGTTGTGGGTGTGGCTACCACATACCTACCTTTTGGTGGTTTAATTTCTCGGGAAACTTGGTCCTGAGTTGTTGGGAGTCCAGACAGAGGCACAGTGGTGATCTGGGGATATCAAGAAGTCTGAAGGCACCATTAGGCTGCTGATGCCCTCGCCCCACGGGTCCAGGCTGACCCGCTGCAGTGCCCCCCAGGGACCAGGACTGGGGTCAGGGCTGCTATGGTTCGCAGTCTGGGCACTCTGGGTGGGCTGCAGCCACCAGTCCAGCAGAGCCTGACCAGGGGGCACATGCCCCCATTCTGGGTCTCCAGACAGTTGGCGCTCTGGGAG